ACATGTGAACAAAGGGTTTTATAAGTTTTGAAAAAATATATTGTAGATGTTTTTAATAGAAACAATAAGGTAGTGAGTTGTGTTAAATAATGAAAAGGATCAACTGGAAATTGCTAATGTGTAATCAAGCATAATATTTATTTATTATTAGTATTAGTATTTTTAAAGATTTTATTTACTTATTTGACAGAAAGTGAGAGAGCACAAGCAGGGGGAGCAGCAGAGGAAGGGGGAGCGGCAGAGGGAGAGGGAGAAGCAGGCTCCCCGCTGAGCAGGGAGCCCGATGCGGGGCTCGATCCCAGGACCCAGGGACCATGACCTGAGCTGAAGGCAGATGCCTAACCGACTGAGCCACCCAAGCGCCCCATCAAGCATAAAATTTTAAAAAGCCTGAGCATTGGAAAACATTTTAACAATTAGTAAAAATAGTAGTTTAGCTAAGTAGAATTCCAATATGTAAAATATTAAACCTGATTAAATATTGGGACCAAGAAAGATAGCCAGATACTAGGATATATATGATATCTAGTAAAATATTAGATGTTAGCTCTAAAACTTTTCCTTCCAATAGATACACTATGGAAGGGAAGACTCTGATTCCATAACATTCCTCATCAAAATAAGGATTATGAAGACCTCAGAATTTTGCAGTAATTCTAGAACATTATAAAAATTATCACTGTACATGACCATGAAAACAAATTCTAATTAACTAAATCTTAACAGGTTAAACACTGGCTAAATGAATTTCCTAAACAGGTTAATAAGATTATAAGTGTAATAAGAGTTTCAGATTCTACAGTCCAGATGATTAAGGGGATCAATTTGAAGTCTGTCAGACCTGTATTCAAATAACACCTTTGCTACTAATTACGTATGTTTTAAAGCTTTACTTTCTCCATAAGTTAAGGGCGGGGACAGTTATCACCTATGTTTAAAGTTGCGAAGAACACTAAATAAGATAAAAAGGTAAAGGTCTTAGTATCGTGTCTGGCATATAATAAAAGTTCTACAAATGTTGCACTGTATCTCCTACAGTATATGACACGTTTGTAAGAGCAAAGTGTATAGCAGATAATTAATAAACAGCTGTTAGCTGGGAGCCTTTCACGACAACACAGGCTTTATTGTTGAAAAATTGAATCACATTCTCCCAGTGTACTGGGGTAGGCAAGGTAACCAAAAAAATCACTAAAATGAGTATTTAATAGATATTATAACTTTGGAAATGAACAAAGGTTTTTTAAAGTAGTCATCGATAAATGCTCTTCTATTCTTTTACTGTGGGTGTTTGCTAAAATATTAGACAATTATCCCATGAATTGTTTTGTAATCTTTGTGTTGAGAAACAGTACAAAAATAAATGGGAAAATTATAAAGCATTTCCAAATGCTATAACTGGAGTCATTTACACATCACTTAATAGCTCTGCATATAGATCACTAATTTTTTTTAATAAGGCAGCAAATGTCAGTTTTAAATCTATAGCTAAATGCTGGACAAAACTTTTTTTAAAAATGGGTTTTTTTCCTTTCCTTGGTATTTTCCTTTTATTAATTGTAATTTATTTTAAAATGAAGGCTGTTTCTAACAAATGGATCCCTGAAATGTAGTCTCCTACGCTTCTGCTATATGACCTCTCTGTAGATTTTATTTATGGCCCTATTCTGGCACAACACTTTGGGGGCAAAATGTTTATGAGACCATAGATCATTTATACAAATCAATTTCTATGGATGCTATATTGTTATCCATGTCAAAACTTTTTGATTTGGAAAGAGATATTAAAAGAAATATTCCCCCATATGTGTTTTAACTTCCTTAGAACATAAATATATTTTATTAATTCTGAAGCATGACATATTCCAACCATAATAACAGTTTATTACTTTCTAAATCTTTCTTCCTAACAGCAAAACATTATGCTATTTATGGGTAAATCAAAATGAAATAACAGTCTAGGTATGTTATATCACTTTTTATGTTTCATTAAGAATCATGTTTTTTATAATTGAATGCATATTTCTGATTATAATTACATTAGACAGAAAAGATGGCAAATTAATGAGAAGAATGAAGAGCTGTCATGGTAGTATCACTGGCCATAGAAATGATTAAAAACACAAGGATGAGAAAAGAGAAGAGTGATTCTTCAACATTCAACATTGAAGGATTACCTCTAACCTATTCATACTTTGAGTAAATCCACAACAGATTTACTAGATTTACTAGTGGAAAGTACAAAAGCAGGCCTGTTATTGGTATATATCAGTGGTTCTCGACTGGGGTCAGTGTTGCCCCCCATCTGACATTTGGCAACGTCTGGAGACATTTTTTGTTGTCACAGTTTGGAAAGGGTATACTTTTGGAATATACTGGATGGAGGCCAGGGATGCTGCTGAATAGTCTATAGTGCACAGCATAGTTTCCTAAAACAAAAAATTATCCAGCCCTCGTATTGATAATGCTGAGGTTGAAAAGCCTCGGTCCAGATCTAGTTATCTTCTATCAGTCAAATAAATTAATCCTTTCTCCCTCACTGGTAATAACCCAAGTAAGAGTTGCCTCTGTGGTAACCATATACAAATTCCAACTGGCAATATAATTAGAAACAGACACCAAACTCAGATAGTTAATTATGGCTAAGTAGGTATTTAACAATATTTCATCATATAAATGATACAAAATGTCAATTAACAAATTAATTAAATTATCTTATTATTCACCAAAATGTCAAAATAATTGATTTTTTGACTGGTATGCCTTATATTTGTTTTCCCTTCACTGATAGTCTTTTGGTGAAATGATCAAATGAATAGCTGATGACCAGAAGGTGAGAGAATGGGAGAAGGAGAAATTAGGAGGCTTGATTAACCACAAATTGAATACTCTTTTTTGGTTATTTTAATGTAGATTGCCTTTTAGGTTTGTTTAAAATTTAATAATGGAGTCCATTAGGACAAAATCTACTTTATAATATAAGGAAGAAATGTAATTTTTCCCTTTAACGAACAAATAAACTATAATTAAAGTTTAATTCATTTCCTTTGGTTTGCCACATACACACTTTAGGGGTTCAAATAGAATGGTCTACCATTTAATATGCAATGGTTTGACTCTGGACGTCAACATAAGAATATAGTAAAGCCCTATGGTTGTTGATAAAATAGAAAAAGAACAATTTAGAAGACCAAACGTTTCTGAGTCTCATAATGTATATCTGTTTAGCTATGAATTTGGAAACTCTGAAATAGCTGAGAATTGATAGGAGTTCTGAAATTGTATTTCTTGCTCTTTGTATTCTGAACTTCATGATGGTATCAGCTTGCAGTGAAAGCCAAAGACTCTAATGAGATTAAGCATAAACAAGAAATAAGGGAAAGGTCTCTGGATTAGAACTGTCACTAGAGCCTAGGGTGAGAAAAATCCTACCTCTATTATTGACTTCTCCCAGTTCCTGAGGCCACTCATGCCTCATTAAGTATCTAAATCAATCATTATTATTCATTCATTATCTCTTCAGTCATTTGACAGTTTGTAAAGGAAGGCTAAAAAAATATTAGTGCTTATTACACACTTCTCCATGTTATAAAATATAGTACTGCTGTGGGACCACACATAAACTTTAAATTAAAACCTTCTGGAAAGAATTCTTATAAATGACTGAAATACTTTTCTGCAATCATCTATAGGATATATCCCACAAGAATTTTCTAATATTTTTCTTCATAGTATAGTAACAAATTCCTAATATAATCCATTGTCTAAGGTAATTGCATGGTAATTAACTTATTTCTGATGAATGTAGTATTTGAGAAGAGAAGCATGTCTTGGAAGATAATACATACTTCTCTACTAATGTTTTTCTCTTATATTATTGAAGTATAATTTATATTCAGTATATATAATTTATATATATAGCAAAATACATTTATATGTATTTTATATACAATAAGTTGCACAAATCTTAAGTGCATAGTTAATTGAATGTTTCACATATCTATACACCACCTGGTTATGGATGTAACCACCACCCAGATTGGGAAGCATATATGGAGAAGAGTGATCAGGCCAAGTTAGCAGAAGCATAAATACACTCTGACAAATAATGGGGAGAGGGGGAGAGAATACTTATCTGGCCATTACATTTTCATCCTACTCACTGAGACTCAGTCAGCTACTTCTCTCTCTTACTAATCCTCTGTGCTTCAATGCTCCCAATAAGTTATCAGTCACTGAAACACGACATATTCGCAATTATGCTTTCTGACTGAATAGGAGATATGCTAACATCAATTACTACTTCCCCAGAAGCACTTATAGTGAGGGTGCATGATGTGAGGAAATGTAGAAGGTTATACCTGGAATCCTAACAAAGGGAAGAAATGGAGGAAAGAATCACCAAATAAGACAAAGTCTCTGGGTCACATTCACCCTCCAAGATCAACAGGGCTACAAAGTGGTATGTGGTGGTCACAAGAGAAACTACGGCCTTTAGGAATGATTAAGATACAAGAAGTGCAGGAAAAATAAATCTACTCAAGCAAATGTAATTTCATTCATCTGGTATCCCTTCCATGAAATAGCTTCGTAAATTTTTCTCTAATTCTTTAAAATAAACTCCACTGAACCTCGTTTAAAATTTCAGAGTAGATTCAGGTACAAATCCAAGAAACACAGCACAATTTAACATGGAAATATAAACTCAAGTGTAAAATCAATTTTATAACTCAGTGTGATCACTCAGACATTTTTTTCAATATTAAGCACAAAAAGTCCACTGAGCACAGGAAGTGTAGGGAGCAGCCACCACACTACAAAGAAAAACACTCACAAGGTAACTCACATAACTGCCTGGGACTCCTTCTCTTTGGAAATGAGACCACACTTTGGATTTGCAAGCATACATGTTTTTCCTAACAATTTTCATTTGGCATTTTTCACCTGGGTTAACAGATCACTCCCAATTCAACCCGAGTGCAAATGTAGAATTCACTTACCTGCACAAAACCACATGCTGTGAAGTCTTCAAACAAGGGCAGACTTGGACGGTCTTCTCTGTAGATGGTGAGTTTATACGTGCTCAGGGTCTCCCCCTGTGCTGGAGATTCATCCACCACCAGCATTGAGATTTTGTTCATTCCCAAACCCAGAGGGTAGTTGGCAAAGCTAGAAAGAGAGAGAGAGAGATTTATTCATATGTCCATACGAATAAATAAATATTGATATATGATGGATTCATACATCAATATTTATTTAATGCCTATAATTTGTACACAAAAGAAGATAAGGTCTATACAACTTCATAAGAAACTTAAAATATGAAAAAAAACTTAATTATGTATTTGGTATGCCAACAATTATCTTGCAGAGCAAGTCATGTCCTCTAGCAATCACCAGGAAGGAAACTAATATTTATTAACCACTTCTCAGGATCATACATTATCTCATTTAATATATCAACTCTATGCCTAAAGTCCCATGGTAGAGTCAGGGCTGGTGTCCAGGTTGGTCTGACTTGAATTCTCTTTTCTTTCTACTAGACTCTCCTAGCTCTCAGGGATGCCAAATGCATTTCCTTCCCCACAGCACGGGAACATGAGTATTTTCCTTGCCATGAACATGGTATGTAATACAGTTCTATCTTCTGTTCAAAATTATAAACAAAAGAGTTGGTGACTCTCAAAAGAGTTAATAGAAAAAAAAATCCCATGAGACTAGGAATATTAGTGTTAGTATGTCCATAAATTGTCACCAAAATATTTGTTCAACCCCTGAATATTCAAAATCTTGAGGAGCTGGGAAATGGTAGAAGGAAGCTACCCTTAATGAGTCTCTTTAATATTTCAAATCACAAGATCCTCTCTTGTCACAACGCTGTGACAAAGATTAGATGCAAACATTGCTAACAAAGTATCCAAAATCTATAAAGAACTTATCAAACTCAACACCCAAAAACTAAATAATCCAGTTAAGAAATGGGCAGAAGACAAGAACAGTCGTTTTTCCAAAGAAGACATACAGATGGCTAACAGACACATGAAAAGATGCTCAACATCACTCATCATCAGTGAAATACAAATCAAAACCACAATGAGATACACCTCATACCTGTCAGAATGGCTAAAATTAACATAGGAAACAACAGATGTTGGCAAGGATGTGGAGAAAGGGGAACCTCTTACACTGTTGGTGGGAAGGCAAACTAGTGCAGCCACTGTGGAAAACAGTATGGAGGTTCCTCAGAAAGTTAAAAAAATAGAACTACTCTATGATCCAGCAATTGCACTAGTAGGTATTTACCCAAAGGATACAAAAATGCTGATTTGAAGGGATACATGCACCCCAAAGTTTACAGCAGCACTATCCACAATAGTCAAAATATGGAAAGAGCCCAAATGTCCATCGACTGATAAATGGATAAAGAAGATGTGGTATATACATAATGGAATATTACTCAACCATCAAAAGAATGAAATCTTGCCATTTGCAACAACGTGGATGGAGCTAGAGTGTATTCTGCTAAGTGAAATAAGTCAAGAAAGAAAATACTATATGATTTCACTCATATGTGGAATTTAAGAAACAAAACAAATGAACATAGAGGAAGGAAAAAAGGAGAGGGAAGGAAACCATGAGACTCTTAACTATAGATAAGAAACTGGGGATGGAGGGAGATGGGTGGGGGATGGGCTAAACAGTGGGGATTAAGGAGGGCACTTGTGATGAGCACTGGGTGTTATTATATGTAAGTGATGAATCACTAAATTCTGCACCTGAAACCAATTTTACCATATATGTGAACTAACTTGAATTTAAATAAAAACTTGAAATTGAAGATTGTTAACAGATCAGTAGAGCACTGATATGTCCTTTTTTTACCACATGACACCTGAAAAGTGGAAGGAAAGAAAAAATTTTTACCACATGACACCCTGGCAATCTCTCCAACTAATCTGACACTTCAGCTTTTCTCAACCTTCAAATGTTGCTTCAAATATTTGCTTCCCACTATGATGTCTCCACTCAGCCCTGGTCAACATCCCCGTACCTTGGTCCTGCCCGATCATGCAGGTACACCTTGCACTGACACTTAGAAGTCTCCGCTCCAATTGTCACTGTGACCACATCAAATGGGACTTCAGAGTAATAATCTTTGATCTTTGGGTTAAATTCAGGATTTAGCTCCAAATGTGGATGTGTGAGGATCTGCTTGATATAACATTGTGTGTCATCTGTTAAAATAAAACAACAATGGCAAAGAAAAGACAACTGTGAAATGGATAGATGTTTAAAAAGCATATATGATTAAGGTTGTTGTTTTTTTTTTTTAATCCTTTGAACAACCTTCATAATCATTGCTGATTTTCCACTTGGCACTCTGGTTATATTTGATTTGTGGCTTCAGCTGGATTTTCTATTTGTCAAATTTTGTAGAGCTTGCCTTATATAACAGCTGTTGACTTTAGTTGGCATTATATAGATGATAGTTTTTGCTCAGCCCTTAAAAGTTCAAAGGCGGTGAGAAGGTGGGAAAATGTCTCACCAGTGGATTGATAACATTTTCGTGGCATTTATTGCATCTATCAAGCAACTGGTAAATGGGGGTGATGACTCTGTGAAGTGGGAACAGAAGGGCACCAGCAGGGAATAAGGAAAATTTCTTAATAGGGAACGTCATTAAACTGCCATTGAATTGATATAGTAGCTTACAGGCAGTAGGGTGAAGAACGTAAAATCCAGTATTTTACCAAACACTCAGATACAAAAACAGCAGCAGGACATTCTGAGACCCCCCTCCCTGCCCTGGTCACCCCAACCCAAGAAAGTGCCCTAAAGTATGAGAAAGAAATGTTATACTCTCCTCAATCCTGCTGTAGAACTCAGCATATTACTTCATACCATTGATTCTAAGCCATTTTAAAAATGTATTTCTAGGTGGTAGCCCAATTTTTACAGAAGTATCTTGATGAGAAAAAGAAAAATGCATTTATAGGCATATATACCAGCTACTACTAAATTATATTGATTACATATTTGGAATAAACACATTACTCAAAAGAAGCTTAGTAAATGTTTTTCAAAGAAATATTAGTATTTTGTTCCATAAATACTTTTCAGTAGTTAACAAAATTCCAGTGGATTCTATGGAAATCTGTAAAATGAAAGTATCCTTCTATTGCCTTTAAATAAAATGTTAAATGATGTTTAACAACATGGCAACAAAACAGATAACGCAGAATTTGCTGCCGGAAGCTATACACTGAACTTAAAGAAGGTCGATGATCCTCTGAATCATGTCCCTTCCTCTATGTACAGCTATCACAGTGAGGTTTCTAAAATCAGATCTGCAACAGCTTCCATTCTTTAATGGTCTCTCGTTATCTCCAAAATCTAGTACAAGCTCCGAATAAAGCAGAAGAGGCATTTCACAATCTCTTCCTCATCTTCCTCTCTCCAGTCACATCTCCCATTCCATCCTGGACTTTGTGACCTATCAAGGCCAACCATTTTATATTTCTTTGACAGACATGGAGACCTACCTCCAAACCCATGGCGGTGGATGCCACCGACTTTATGGATATTTTATTCCAGTTCTGAGAACTGTGTCTCAGTACAACTATCATACACGTGTGAAAATGAAAGCTGAACATGAAAATGAAAAAAACCTTGTGTATTTCTGACCCACACTCTATAGTTTTTTCGGCTGACAAAAGAAAAAACTATCCAGGTGCAAATTAGGAACAAGTAATAATACAAAAGATATATTGTAATTTCATTGTAGGGAAAAGTCTTAGTAAAAAATAAACAACTAGTCAATTTGGTTAAACAACTGAGGGAATTGGATAAATGACCCATTTGATTGATTGTACTTTTTACCAAAGATTTGATCTGGCTGATAGTTGTAGGTAGACTGCATCTATAATTTTGACGATCATTGTCAACTCCTGAAATTTTTACAATAAAAGAGAAAAAGTTAAAGAATGAGGGCAAGATTATATTATTAGATTTCATCATGAAAAGGACCATAGCTTTTTATTTGAGTTCAACTACTTATTAATAATGTATTCATTTAAAAAAAATTTTTTTCCAGCACATTCTATGTTCAAGACTGAGATAAGCACAGTAAAAACAGGCTATTGTTGGTCATAAGATCTGACTCAAATGGAGACTGTGAACCTAACATAACATTTTAAACAGGCTGGAGTCCAGAGATACAAAATGTGCTTTTGAGAGGACCGTTTCCTAAGTAGAAAGGGAATATAAACACTTGCATTACACTTTTATGTTCAAAACCAGTTAAATGAATAATAAAGTAGAAGATTTATTTTTTCAAAATAGTAACCACAGAAGATGTACTTTAACTTAAGAAGGCATATTTTTATAAAACAGTCACTGAGAGTTAATTTCCCTGCAGTTTACACTTTCACTTAACAGTGAAAGTTTCCAGTGGGGCTTGCCCATCGTAACACTGAAATGCAGCCCCACACGAGACATAATGCATAATCATTCTCTTAAGCAAGATTCTAGCAAGCGCTTGTTTTTGGTTTCATCAGAAACTCTCCAACTCTGGCTTAAGTGCTGCATCCTAAAGCCCTGCTTAAAAGCTGATCTATCTTGATATCATCTTCACTCGAATCATCAGTGTTGCTGCCAACAAACACCTGGAGTTTCCTTGGCATCCTTCCCAGCCCAGTGCCAACTCGCCTCAGGCCAGCTTACCTCAGATCCATGGAGAACCCAGCATGAGCTATGGTGGTAGCAGGCTGCTTAGCCTATTTGGCAAATGTATTTGGGAAAGCCATTTGAAGTTTTGGTTGCTTTTAATGGATTCATTTAACCACAGAGTTTTATTGCCCTCTTGAGGGATGATCGTAACTCATATTAAACACGAGAAAAGCCTAGACTCTGAAGGATGATCCCACCTGTTCTGAGGCATCATCAAGTTATTTTTTAAATCTTAGATCATGCCATGAAAGTAGGCATTATACAGACCCAGGTAGGACTAGTTTTTTATCAACATAAAAATATGAACTAAGCTGAAGAGCTTATCTAACATGTTCACATCCTCTACAGCAGGTTACCCGGGAATGGAAAAAAAGTGAGATTATCCCCATAGAGTTGTTTCATTTTATACATCATAAAATAGAAGACCAAAGAGGTGAAGTGACTTTCTTGATGCTGCATCTATCCCAGAGCCTAGCACTTGACAAATGTGCATTCTCGTCTTGCTCCAGGTTTACTCCCTAGTCCTTTCCCCACTATAACCTAGGCACCAGTATCCCAAGAGGTGCATGTATTTTTCTAGGAGGAAGAGATTGGATGAAAAGTGCAGGCAAGGAACAGCATAAGTCATATCTGTTATTTTTCCTGATCAGCAATACTTTATTTAAAATGCCATTTTTCTTTAATTGGATGTACTTGTTGATTCTATTAAACCACATTACTGTATAACCTCTCAGTCTACCCAGATTTTAATGATACTGTTAAAACATAATGAATGAATTAAATTGCATTTTAGAAGATACAAATTAGATTTTATTAAACTGGAAGACTCTTATTTATAATAAATTAAACCTTAGTCCATAAATTTTATTTTTTCCAGCTTTTATGTTTTACTGGAATAGACTTTTCGTGAAAGGCTAAATTTTCTGAGTGTATGTTTTAGCACTATATACATATATATATGTATATATGTATACATGGTCAAAAAGCAAACCTGCTAAGTAGAACTCTTATTTTTCCATCATATTGTTATAAAGTATTAAGATAATTCATGAGCTTTAGACAAAGAATTGGAAGATCCAGCTTTGTGATCCAGCTCAGGCACTTAATAGCCCTGTGATCTTGGAAAGGTCAGTTATATTCTCTAGAATTATATATTTTCAAGGCCACTGGAATAATACTGACCAGAGTAAAGAAAATTATTTTTAAATCCTAAAATCTATATACTTGAAATGTATTATTATATACATGCCATTTTTCTTGATCATACCTTAGTAAAAAAAATCATGAATTTTAAGAAAATAAACTGAAAATCAGATTAAAAACTCTCTGTTATATAAAAAAATCAACTCAAGTACTATCCATTATGTCAACAATCTGGCAGAAAAGGAATCCCTGTGGGGTGGTGTGAGTCCTAAAAATTGATGTATAAAGCAAATAAGCCAAGTTTATCCACTTGAGCAGTCTCCAAGGCAAAGTCTTAGCACCCTGAAGACCCCTCAAAATGAGTTTGGAAGTCACTGGCCTTAAACAAACAAACACATAAATATAACATTTCATGTTCAAAAATAGAAAATTAAAGATGTTCTTCTTATGCAAAAGTGACATATCAACTCATTCAGAAACTTCTAAAAATTTACTTAAAATACATTACAGTCTAAAAGTACTCAAATATGGTAAAATGGTGATTTATTCAAAGCTGGGCTATGCCTCGCTATTGATCATGCCACTGAAACACTTTCATTGGAACTCACCATTACTGCAATGAACTTCTTTGGTTTCATTCATGATTCGTGGAACAGCAGCTAAAAAAAAGAAAGGTTAATTTAAAATGAAAACTATTAAAATAAAAGGAATACATATTCAGTAATCTCGAACAGCATACTTTTTATTGTTTAACTTTTCTTATATCAGAAAGCCCTTCTTAGTTAAACTGAAAGCTACAGTAAAACAAAAGAAGTTCTTTGGTTCAGATCTCAGGAGAATGATTACTTGAAACAGGAAAATATATTAGGGGAGAAAAATGAATGGTCCAAATGTCATCCATTGCCTGGGGGTGATGTTGAGATTCCTTCTATGAAGGTTCCATGATTTTATGACTATAATATCCCAAATCATTAGAATTGCAGAAATTTTATCCAGTTGATTCCACTGACATTTCCTCTTAAGTTTCTAAAGTAAACCAAACATCTATCTAAAAATCTCTTTACTACCTAACAAATAATACATTATATGTAAAAAAAAAAAAAAGATAGTAGGAAGGGAAAAATGAAGGGGGG